TTTTCAGCATATTTTAATTAATTAATTAATTAATATTTATCTATTTTAATTAATGTTTATTCTATTTTACTGTGAACTGCCCAGAGTCACTCTGCAGTGAGATGGGCGGTGACAAATTTGAAATATAATAAATAAATAAACAAACAAACAAACAAACAAACAGAAGGTGCAAAATACATTTTCATCACAGAAAAATATGGGGACACTGATCAGTATCATATTTTATAGTCAATCAGAATATGGGTCTCAAAGCAAATTTGTAAACCAGGACAAGTCCACTCTAAGTTTCATGACTGGGCATACTGTATAGCTGTTATTGTTGTTTTTCATACCAGGGACACCTGTATGTAGGTACAGTGTGTGTGCATGCCTTCAAGTCAGTGTTGACTCCTGGTGACTGCCTGGAGTTTTCTTAACAAGGTTTTTCAGAAGTGGTTTGCCGCTGCCTCCTTCCTAGGGCTGAGAGAGAGGGACTGGCCCAAGGTCACACAGCTGGCTTCATGCCTAAAGTGGGACTAGAACTCAGTCTTCTGGTTTCTAGCCTGATGCCTTAACCACGACACCAAACTGGCTCTAAGTAGGTATAGTACCATAACTTTACTGATTAGTCAATCAACCATAGCAAGACTATATGTAGGTGAAAAAGTGTATGATGTTATAGACAGGGAGCTCATACCTCTTTTGCTTAATTAACTGAATTTGGGACGAAGAGAGAGTCAAAGTAACGTCCCCTTCAAGTCCAGCTCAACCTCTAATGAATTAATAAATACATTCATGTAGCTTTTCTAGCAATAATACAGAACCTTGGTTTGCCTTTGATTTGGATGTTTTTATACTTCCTAATCTAGTCTACAGTCATGATATAAACTGAAGATCTCCTATTGGACAAGTTGAGCAACAAATATAAAAAAAAATCAGCATGTACTGTATCTCCAGTGTTCTTCATTTAAAAAAAAATACCTCTATTTGAATTATTCTATAAAGCTGCCCCATATCTCTTCATGCTCTTAGGAGTTTATTCTCCTCCAATCACCTTTAAAACTTTAAGGATTGCTTAGTGCTAACTTGAGTATCTAGAAAAGATGGTCAAGAAAAGAAAGATGCCTAGACAAGAAAGACTATTTACATATCCATTGGCAATCTTGAGCTAACTAATGTTTATCTGTCACTTAAGACAGAAGGCCATCAGATTCATATCTTTACTAATTTCCTGAAGAAACATGGACCTCTTACTTTACAATGCAAGATCAATATACTTTTCATCCTTCTCTGCCATACAAACATATTTATTATTTATTTTATTTAATTTTATTTATTAAATTTATTTGCCGCCCATCTCCCCCAAAGGATGACTCTGGGTGGCTCACAATTAAAATCAAACATCAAAGCAGTAAAAAATATAAGTATCCACATTAAATTAGCTTTAAAAAAATCATACTAGATAAAAAGACTATATACATAAGACTATAACACTCAAGATGACGAGTGGGCAGAATCAATAACCCCACGAGCCAATTCCAACGATGCGAGCCCCCATCAGGACTCCAGGCTATCTGGCAAAGCCAAAATTTCACATTCTTCCTGAAGGCCATGAGAGTGGGGGCACACTGCACCTCAGGTGGTAAGTAGTTCCACAGAGCAGGAGCCATGGCAGAAAAGGCCCTCTTCCTAGACCCCTCCAGTCAAAATTCCTTGACTGGTGTGCTCCGCAATATGCCCCTTCTGCCGGACTGAGTGAGGCGGGCTGATATAATGGGGGCATGATGGCTCTCCAGATAATCTGGTCCTGTGACACGAAGGGCTTTAAAGGTAATAACCAATAACCTTGAATTGGACCCGGAAGCAAACCAGCAACCAATGCAACTCTCATAACAGAGGTATTATATGGGCCACCCGATGGCATTCAGAACTGCCCACGCCGCTGCATTTTGTGCCAGCTGCAGCTTCCGGATACTCTTCAAGGGTAGCCCGATGTAGAGTGCATTGCAGTAATCCAACCAGGAGGTCACCAGGGCATGAGTTACTGTGCAGAGAGCCTCCCGATCCAGCCACCTTTAGGAATAGTGAATATGTTTGTATGGCAGAGAAGACTTATGGCTAACCTACATGACTCACAATGTAGAAGAGGCAGTGCAGATTTTTGGAAGGTACAGAGACTGCACCAACATGTTCCACCTACTCCATTGAACTCTGAGAAAATGTCACTACACTGATCCTTTAATTAATTTGTTGCTAGTTTCCTAACAGTCTGACATAATGTAAAATATGTAGAGACTTCTGAAGTTTTTTCATTATTATTTTAGCATTGTGCATTGTTCTGTGTAATTAAAATAATTCCACATCCAGATTCAACAGTTTGAAGAGCAGACAGCTAAATAAACTTTGGATACGGCAGTCTTCAATCTTTTGTCATTGGGAAAAATCCAATAATGGGAAACAACCAATGACCCAGACTTTACATAAATATTTTATTATGAAAGAGTATACATACTTGTCAATTTAATTATCTGGAAGAATGAAGTGAGATTTGTACTTTGTAACCTCCAAATAGGGGGAACAGTTTCTAAAAGGTGAAGTACGTTCTATTCAGAAGCACTCTGCAATTGCTTTTTATATCTCAAGGGTAACCAGAGATGAACATCATCGTAAAATCAAGTTCTTCATACAAAAAACTGTGAAAAAAATTGTACTTATCTTTAAAACAGCACCATCTTCTGGCACATGTGTTTCTACTTTACAGTCAGAAAGCAGAATTGTCTTAGGCATTATTATATTCTAATTGGTTTGTAATAAATGCCTGTCTAGTATCTCTGTTGAGCAAGAACTGGACTGAACAAACATACCTGATCCCAACATTAAGAGTGCTTCCATTGCAATCTTCAAGTCAAAGGAGGCAAACTAATTATTGCAAAAGCTTCAAGAACCCCTCTGGCTTCTAGCCAACCCACTGTATTTTGATTTCTTCACAAGTCATTGGCTAGACAATGATACTGTGATATGAATAAATTTAGCCTGCCACAGGCTAAATTTCATCATTTCTAAGATCAAATGCTTCCAGTTTCAATTAACTGCAATGTGACATCTGAATCCTAAACTCTATTAACTATGGTTTACTAAAACAAGCCAGCTTCAGAAACAGTGATATGAAACCAGTCTTATTCAAGCAGACATTGGATAATGTGAAAACTTAATATGAATAAAATTGGGGAGGGGGGAATGCTTTCAAGTCCCACTCCCAAAGTTCCTATACGTAGGGAGACATTGGGGTAAACATAGAAGTACCTCGCTTTTTCACTTTTAGTATTTGTGCATCTGCTGTCATCTCAAATAAACAATATTTTCAGGTTCAGACAAGAAGGCAAACCAAAATGCAAGAGAATGCTTTAGAACTCCTTGCTGCTATGCTAAAAGAAGACAGGGGAATATGCAAGCTTAGGAAATGCCAGTTTTCTTCTCATCAATCCAAATAAAGCCAATGAACATACGTATATAGGAGAAAGAGGACAAAATCTTTCCTCTGAATGTCTGATAGAGTGCCAAAATCTCCCAAGCGCAAATGTGATTGTTCAGAGATCATACAACTCTTTCAGAACTAACAGTACCTCCAGCTGAGTACAACCCAGCTTCAGTTTCCAGAACTGGCACTTTAATTTGGCCGTTACTGCTGCCAAGTATTACAGGAACCCAGAGAAATTAAGGAGAGGAGAAGGAAGCCATATAAAATGCAGCTGTAATTTGTACATGCAGTGCATATCGTGACAACACATCTGGATATTTTTTCTTTTATGCATGCTTTGTTGCATGGTGTCATATCCTAGGACAACAGCCTAAGAGACTTAAGAATGTATCCGAGATTTTTTTGTTTTTTGGCCTCATTTCCATTGATTTGATGATTTCACATTTCTCAGAAATCTTCCCTTGTTCTCAGATAAAAACATGGGAAGCTACCCTGTAACAAGTTAGATCACTAAGCCACTGGAGTGCTTCCCAGCTTTATTTGGGGAACCCAGAGAGATTAAGCCTGGGACTTATCTGGAATTCTACCACTGAACTACAGGCCTCCTGTATGTTTCAGAGGCACTGGGGAGCATTCTGTAAAAAGCAGAAATACAGTAGTTGGGAATGAATGAATGGATGGATGGATGAATATATTTTTTTATTTGAATTATATTCTGCCTTCCATTCTGGAGCAGAAGGTGGCATACGTAGTGTTCCCTCCTCCTTGTTCTTCCTTACAACAGCAACCCTGAGGTCTGTTGGGACAAGAGAGAGACACTGGCTCAAGGTCACCCAGTGAAGTTCTATGGCTGAGGGTGGACTTGAACCTTGGTCCTCCTAAGACCTTAATCACTGCCACCTCACTGGCTCTTTTTGGTCTTTTGCAGCGTGGCAGGGGAGAAATGAACATATATGGTCAAGATTTGGAACTCACTTTACTTTCACCTACTCATTTAACTTTTATGTTATTCAAATTTTATATTGTACAAATACTCCTGGAACAGCATGTTTATTCCTGGAACTGCATGTTTTGTGCCTGGTTGGTTCATAATATCAGGAAATGTATCTATCACTTTTTATAGCTTTACTAACCCTTTAGTCTGAAGAGCTCACCTATCAATACAGAGATACTTAAACTTAAGGAAATAGGTCTACCCCTTTTTTAATGAGAAAACTAGGAATCTAGGCAGTATCTGTCCACTTGTGGCCACAATATTCAAGGACAAAATATAAAGAAGCTATTAGATTCCAAAAACAGAGTCTGATAATAGTCATGAACATTTCTGCCAGGAAGAAAAAGAAAGACAAACTTTTAGACTGAAGTTCTAGACACTGAAAATCTACTCCAATACTATAATAAATTGGTTACTACTACAATCAGTTTCCACCCTCCAGTCTAACTTCTCTATTTCCCTTTTTAAAAAATCATACCAGATGACTTGATAGCACTGGCCTCTTATTCTGCAGAATTGTCATTTACTATTTTTTCCTTGCGTAACTGAGCAACTAGGATTTCAACAGAAATTACCTTCATACTAGTTCTACCATCTCCCCAAAGGGATAAATCAGAAAATGTCTCTTGGTTTCTTATCTCGACTAGTATCTCAATCCCTTATTGCCATATATACCTTTCAGGATACAAGTCCTTATTAATTTGTTTTTATGGAATTATATCCAAGCCTTTTACCTTCCATTTCCTAGAACCGATTTGATCAAGAGAACGTACATATTAAACCACCACCTCATAGAACTTACCAGGGATAACTAGAAATAGAAGTCTGGGCGCACTTTTATCATTCCAGAGATCTTCCCAAGGGCCACACTTTAGAATCTGGGTAGGAGCTCCATAAATGTAAGTGAACTCTTCACGTATCAAATCTTGCTCTTGGGAATCTGATTTCATGCTTGTTGCTGAGGAGAAAGTAAGAGAGTTTAAAGGTAACTGGTTAGGCATGTGAAATCATTCCCTAGTTGTTTTGCTTTATAAAGAAAGAAAGTTGCAGCAACTTTCTAGCCAAACAAGATACAGGAGTTTTTTCAACTCCTTCATTTCAATTCCCACACAGGCAACATTCCTAAGTTAAGGAAGTACGATAACAACAACTTCCTGTGTTATTAAACACTTGCAGAAGAGATGCTGACTTTTATCAGAACTACAACTGGCAAGTTACAACATGGCATGTATCCCAACGTTTTACACAATACTGTAAAATAAAGCTAGTAACATTGCCAAATCAAGGGCATGATGTTTGTGGCATGCAGAGTGAAAAATCAACGAGCAGGATAGCAGTTCAAGGCTTTCATTCCTGATGCACCAATTTCCTGAAAAGATGCTGAAACAAATGAATGAAAAATAAAAGTATCAAAGATTTATCTTAAACCTTGTCAAGGAAAATAAATACTGATTTAATTTGCTAGATTCAAACTCTTTAATACAAACTTTTCTATTAAGAAAATACTTCAATTAATGGAATAGATTAGGCCTGGAGGGAACCCACTCCATTTTCTCACTCCTGCACTCTGAGGCGAATACTGTATTGCTTTGGATGAGCGCTCCCGCTGCCCCTTGCAAATAGCATTTCCGGGGGTGGGGGGGGTGGGCGGTCCTTAGGACTGCCAAGAAAGAGGAAGGGGTTAACATTCCTTTTTAGACCCCCTCTGATGTTCTTATCAGTGTTCTCCAGCTAATGCCTTTTGCTAATAAAATCATAAAATATTGTGGCTCCATTTGATTCTGAGTATAGTTTGCTACACATGTGACTAATATGTCTTGTCCCTGCCACAGGACGAAGCAAATGGGTAATTACATACAGCCCCAACCTGAGTGAACACCAAGGTACAAGATTTCTCTTCAGAGAAGTTCTCTGTTGCAACCACATGTAGATTCAGGCATTGATGTATTTTGTTGTTGTTAGAAGTTTTGTAGTTCACATTATTTTAATATATCTCAGGACAGGTTTTAACCCAAAAGCCAGCATCACAAGACCACCTCTGCTGCTCTGCAAATCACTATTTATTCTTAACAGCTGAAAGAACGGTCCAGAAATTAGTACTGGATTTCCTTCTTTTCCTGCCAGAGCGCAGGGTGGGAAAAAACAATCTCCTGAGTCATAGTACTGTATATACAAAGCCAAGGGAGGCAACCAGGCATCCTCCGGAGGGACACCGCCCACCTCACGGCCAATGGTCAGAGATCAGGGGAGCTGCAGCCAAAACGAGACAGTAGCTAGTCCAAAAGTGCGGGGGGAGCGGGGGAATAGATGGAAATATATGACTTAGTGGAAACAGACACTGAGCAGGAACATTTCTTTCTTTTCCGCACCTGGATTGCCTCGCTTCAGTTGCTCCATCAGCCTCGTTATTTCTATTAGAGGACCATTCTTAGCACCGTAACTCCATGAAACAAGCAAAGGGGAATTTGCAAAAAGGAAAGCAAAGCTCCATCACCCAGGAAAAAGGAGGTGGGCAGGAAAAGGAACAGAAAGCAGGCACTCTCCGCGCAGGGAAGGGGACCGATTAATACCACAGGTTGCAGGAGAGGAGCACCAGGGAAGGGCGGAAAAACCAACGAGGCAGTCCTTGGCCAAGCACGTACCTTCCCCACTCAGCGGCTCTCGACCGGCTCCCAGCATCTTTAGGCAGGGAGAAGCACAGCAATTCCTGTTCCTTCCCTGCTGGCCGGGCGGAAGTAAAAACAGTAGCAAGAGACGGCCCGGCGCCCGCGGCTCTTCCGCCCGGCTGAGACGTAAACAAGGCGCCGAGACCCGAATCGTTCGAAGGGTTCCGCCCCTGCTGAGCAGGGAAGGCCAGCAGGGAGGTTGATAAGTTTGGGAATTCCGAATGCCGGTTGCACGAGGGCGTGCTTTCGCTTCTGGTGTGCGCATGTGGGCTCCTCACTCTTCATTCCTCGGTGGTCTGTCTGTCTGTCTGTCTGTCCTCTCATTCATTCATTCAAAACATTTATATAGCTGCCCATCTTGAACCAAATTCTGGGCGGCTCACAACCCCAAAATAAGACCACATCTATTTACTGTAGCCCTGGCACCACAGCTAAACTTTCCCATGCAGCCCGCAACAAGTTCATCTCACCAATCTCAGTCTATCCCAGCGCTTGGCGGAAAGCCGGATCTTGAGCACTTTTCAGAAGGTCAAAAGTAGACACCCCACCCCCACCCCCACCCCCCATTTGCTGTTTAAAACAGCTCCTTAATGCCTTG